TACTGTGATATAATCTAGTTATGACAGCAACATTCACAAAATTGTCCATCAAATTCCTCGTCTGCAGCGATGACAAAACAACATACTCTATAATAACGCCATTATGCGCGATGCCTGTGCACAAAATGTTTCAAAGTGCACAATGAACAGGAAGTACATGCCAGTTTTTGGATTCGTGTTTATTTGTGTCCTAACTTGCCGCAAAACACGACAGTGAACGCAGTGATAATACGTGATGGTCATTGAGATACGACATACGAATATAGCAATCATGCCGGGAGAATTCAGGATTTTGCATTTAGTTGTGTGTGCTACAATTTCATATCAACATTCATCATTCCCTTAAAATATGTGTAACATTCGGTTGTAACATATAATAATAGCTGATAAGTGATTTGTACCTTACTGTGACATTAACAGGTTGCCAGGCCAGGATGATGTTGAAATGACCTAATCTGGCCTTAAAATCCAGGCATGGAGGCACGGAAGACTTCGTGCTCGGCCAGTGCAGGGGAATAATGACGAGCAGTCTTTTGGATGTTCTAGTAGCCTTGTAATGGCATTTGAACAAGGCAATCCTACCGGTGTGAGGAAGCTGCATTACGTAAAAATTGCCAGCACGGACCCCGTAGTGAATATCTGCGAAAAAATGCATTTCATTTTGCAGGAAGGCAGCTACGATAGACGAGACTGCCTTCTTCTATCTGATGATGGGAGGACGCGTTGCCCTTCTCCGTTGGCGCCGCCCCTTACCCCCCCCCCCCCTCCATATACATATATATATATATATATATATATATATATATATATATACCTCTCGTTCCCTCTCTTTCTCTCCTGGGCATTTTACCGGCCAGATAGGAGGCATTTCCTCAGCTCAGCGGCTTAAGGAAACCGCAGCAATTATGCTTGTGGACTCCTGTGCATGATGGCCAGTACAAACCTGCACGAGCTGCTACGATCTCAGTAAAGGGGGGCTGTTCTCAATCCAGCCAGCAGCCGACCTATTATTGTCTCATAACCAGAACTGGAACATGACGTCACGCAATTATTTATCTGCATGCAGTTCAGTGTTCCTGTGTTGGAAACCTAACGGGATGGCGTTCACCAAAAACCTGCTTTTGAACTGAGAAGCGAAAAGCACTCACATCTACCCTGATCTTTCATGTTTTCTGTTGTGGACATGTTTCGTTTTTGTCTTTTCCGCTGCACAGATCCTTCGAAGTTTTGACCTCAAAGGAAATGCTTCTCACTTGCCTGTAGACTGAACTAAGATGGTCAATTCGAAGCCAATAACAGACCCGTAATTTATATAAGGAGCCATTTTATCCCATAATTACCGAAATCATAATTTTCTTCTTAAAACTATGACCCAAGTAAGACTTGAGAATAATGGTCTACGCACTTTTCCACGGCCTATTCCACAGCCCGATGGTGTAACGGGAAGTGTCAGGTGACCAGGAATGACAGTTCCGACGGTCAGAGCCCTGACCGCGAACGGCCGCCGCCAATCAGCTGTCAGTTGGACGTCGTGCCGCGCTTTGTGCTGTAACGGGGCCAAATGTCTTCCGCAGCAGATTGATACCTGATACCTCCAGCATGTTTTTCAAGAGCACTTTGCATGACCTGCTCCTGCATACCATGTTCAATCCTGGTTTTATTTTCACATCTTTGATAGTCTTTGGATAGCCCTTCAACACTTTTCCGCTCTGACGCGAGCACCACGTCACGTTACTTTATCACCATAACGTTGCAGTCTGTGACGCTACGACCGAGTCCAGGCGCCCAAATATTGAATGCCAGGCGTTGGGGCTTTTCAAGCCTGGACACTTCATGTTCGAATATTTCTTATTGCTCTGTGGCAAGAAAAGGTATACATCTCGTCTTGTTGGATCGATCCCTTTACTAAGAGGGGAAGGGGCTATGTGGAATGAGGCATGGCCTTGTGCATTTCCAACAGCTTCCGATTGTTGGCAATTGTTGAATTAAGGAGGGAAATCAACCAAAAGTGAATTAAAATCAAGGTCCGACAATTATTGATGCCCTGGAGGCGCAGCAAATCATTAATTCTACTTCTGCCATGGTTTACTAGGATTAAAAACACGATGACTATTCCAACGCGCGACCGTAATTTACCTACATGAGCTTATCTTTTGTTCCCGGACGTTGTCCAGACAGTTAAAAGTAAACCAAAATCGTGCGGATGTGCTTGCTTTTAAAGAATATCAAAAAGTTGACTTCTTTCTTGCACGACCGATCCCAGCCGGAGACGGTGTGCCCTCAGGCAGCACGCCACAGGCCGCGTCGCCCCGCGTCTGCGGCTGCGCGGCACTCTGTGGCCACCGCGCTCCGGCTTCGGGCCTTATCGACCGGAGCCGGCAGGCAGCCGCGCCGGAGGCACCTCTCGCGGCCCCCGGGCGGCCCACCAGCCCGGCCGGCGGCGCACCACGCCGATTGGCTGCGGGTCACCTGTGTTGGTGCGCGGCGGGGGTCGCTGCCCGGACGGCGCTGGCCAGTGTCACTGCTGGCTGCCGGTCACCTGTGTTGGTGCGCGGCGGGGGTCACTGCCCGGACGGCGCTGGCTAGTGTCACTGCTGGCTGCCGGTCACCTGTGTTGGTGCGCGGCGGGGGTCGCTGCCCGGACGGCGCTGGCCAGTGTCACTGCTGGCTGCCGGTCACCTGTGTCGGGGCGCGGCGGGGTCACTGCCCGGACTGCGCTGGCCAATGTCACTGCTGTCTGCGGGTCACCGCTGCTCGCCGCTGTGCTGTCCCATCCACCGCTGTCATGCTGCTGTGGCGGATGGAGCCGGCTTGTCTAGTAGGGGTGTCTTTGTTATGATATAGGCGCTTAACTTACGTAGAAATAGCTATTCTGCTGTTTCATAGGAATGAGAGTGGGTTTGGCCAGCTGGGACCAGTTCCAAGGGCAATTGACAGGTGAGGCAGCCACGTGCAAATGCGATGTGGTCAAGGAGTAGAAACACACATTTTTGGCGTACCTCAGCAATGCTCCTGTAATGATTTGGTTCAACAAATGCTGGTAGACACGAGTCCCGTATACGCAAACGTAAGAGCGTAGCGATGCATACAAAAGCTAGCTGACGCTAAGAAGCAGGCGATAACGCATACTGGAAAATGGAGTCACTCATTTCTGTACACAGTTACATAGCACCTTTGGCACCGCTTTGGGGTAACAATACTTTGTCTTGCGCTCATTCAATATCAGGCAGCAACGTCCCCATCAGTCGGCAAGCGCGGACAGATAATATACACTGACGGCTTTACGAACCTGAAGGGTGTAGATTTACTTGGATAAGATCACATTCTGTTTGACTGAACCCGATAGCACATATGCACGGACATCACACACGCAGCAGAACAGGCGACGTGAATTCTCAGTGTCCAGCTCGCCATGTCCGCGCACCGTCCAACCGCAACAGCGCTGCGAGACACTCGGGATATGCCGGAACAATGACCAACACTAACTCCCTCAAACTAACAAGTATGTGTTTTCAGTGAACGATTCCCTTATAGCTACTGCGTTCAGTCTTAAACGATATTTACAGTCACCGATGACTAGAAGCATAACATCCGAAATCGCAGCACTCCGAATCATGCACGATAGTTAGAATATTCCCAAAAAGCTACGTGCGTAGTAGTCATGTGCCATTTGTGCTACATCTGCAAAACGTCGTTCGGGGTTCACAACAATTGTTCCAAGCTGCTAACGCTTACAAAAAAACATGAAAAAACACGGTTCTACAACATACCATACCGATATGTTATCAGCAATCCGCATGCTGTTCTTCATCGTAAATTATATGCTCATGTCGTTTGAAATTCTCTTAGTAGCATATTACACAATAGCCGTTTTCACGAAGGATTAAGATGCAAAAACATTTAAATTTTTAAAGGTTTTTCAGCGCTCATTTTCCAATCACACACCTTTTTATGAGCGATAATTGGTGAAAAATGTTTTACAGAGATTTGAGGGCAGGGTCACAGACGCAGCGTTTGATAAAATTTCGGTTAGTTGGCTACAAGATGCTTTTATGGACAGGTGTGATCTCAGTTTTTTCTTACCGAAGCTTTTCAAACCTTATAAAAACGTTTCATGGCATCTCTGACGCGGACGCAACATAAAAGACTCCTATATCCTATCGGCCATGCTCATAGGTATGCGTTACTTACAGAGCTTACTTACGGTATTTACAGAGCTTACAGGGCTTGCATTTCTTAACATGATCCAAGATGAATGATCCTTGAATGAAGTGATAATCAAAGCCCATCTTGTTCCAAACAACACCGGTGTAAACAATAATGGGAAGCCGGCATCCATCGCCCTCGACCGACGCACATCGCTGATTGCCAAGCCAAGTATTTTCCTAGAATTTGGATGAACTAAAGGCATGAGCTGAAGAAATATCTATAAATGCTCTCCCTTAATGTGGCAAGTTTGTTTTCATTTTGTACATGAAGTTTACCTGTTTCATATTAATGGAATTGCATGTAAGCATGATTTTCCTTGTCAGAATGTTTATTATGTACTAAAACTTTATAGAAACATTTCAAACCTTTTTTAAAAACTTTTCGGTGCATTAACCCATCGTGAAAACGGCTAATATGAAAGTTGCACAAAGGCATATTTTGTACGGCAAGAAGAATGATTATGCATTGCACGTTTCCGTCTTCAGATGTATTTTATGAGCAGCGTAAAAACGTCTACTGGTTTTTAATTTGCTTACAACAAACATCGGTGGAATCTTTCCAGAGACATCCAAAGCACATAACAAATAACCACCGGTGACTCGCGAATCAGTCCGAATGTACTTAAACGGAGTGTCCGAATGCATGCTTGGAAACTATTCAACGACTTTAATAAAATAGTGTTACTATGAGTATATATTGAGCAAATATTCAATCGAGACGTTCAAATTTGACAGCTCGCACAAGCGTCATGATGCAGGCATCGATCCATGGGCGTCATTGTTGTCAAAAGCATTGTTATGTGATCGTATTATTCATGCTGCCGTGCATTCCTCGAGTAGCCACCACACGAATGGCTGGCTGGCGTCAACCTGCGTGCGTTTCGAGGTGTTCTTTAAGTTTGGCTTTCAGACGCCGTCAGGCATTGCTGACGTCACAAAACACTTCCGTGACGTCATCAAGTGACGACGTAATGCGGAACATTTTTGCAATTCGCCTTTGAAATTTTGCTATTTAGGCAAGTTTTTGAACCATGAAAGCATACCAATAGTTATAATTAAAATTTTCCATCATATCTGACGCTTGCCTCAATTTCTTCACTGTGGAACATTCCTTTTAAGATTATTGTCCCATCTAGCGTTGAGTACACAGTCTGAGCCTGATGTATTGTCTAAAGCCAACGTCCTGCCCATGCCTGCCCAAATACACAACAGTTAACACTGATCAGCAGACATTGGGTGGAACTGAGAACAGCCCGTCACACGAAGCCCACTCATACAGTTCAACGCCACACTTGACGTGGTAGAGTTCGCTTGCACGTTTGCGCGGCCGACGCGTCGAGAATACTCGCCGGCCGGAAACGAAGCACAGTGAAGCCGGCGACTGGGGGAGGTGCCGGTGAGGGCGACCGATGCCGGGCTAGATGGCGCAGCGCCGCTGGCGCCGGCGTTCAGCCCCGGTATCTGGGGTCACTCGTCGGCACCTTGATGTTGGAGAACTGGGTGTCGATCGACTCGCGCGTGTCGTACAGTGACGGCGCCTGAAAGATGATGGCCACCGCGCCGAGCACGCAGGCCAACGTGAACAGCCACAGGAAGAGCCGGTCCAGCACCATCGCCACGTACTTCCAGTCCTGGATGATCTGGAACAGCGACGGCGGCAGCTGACGCGGCGTGGGGCACGGCGCGCAGCAGACGCGGTGCACCACCGACACCAACGACACCACCGACACCAACAACACCACCGATACCAACGACACCGATCCGCAGCGGCGCGGCACACCTGACACACGCTCCATGTCGCCTGCAAACGCATTCGGTGATGCCACGGGCTTAAACAGATTGCACAGACTCGGGAATCCCCATATAACGCTACACTAATGACCAGCATTGGAGTGTTATGACACCTCTAGGCATGGGTCCACCACTCCAGGGATTACCGATATCATTGAAGCGACGCAGCGTCTTGCAAAACGCCATCGGGGCGGGGGCGTGGAATCCATACCGTGATGTCTGGCGTGGGTCACTGGTCTCGCCCTGTTGCCCCTAATGGACTCAATCGCGGAGAAAACAAGATTTGTTAGCTGGAACAGATACTTAGGCGGATGCCACTGCGATGACATTGCTCTGATTCGCATTGCACTGTGTTGGAATGGGATCGTCATATTTACATCAATTAGAAGGCATTTTATCTCCGTTAGTGGCCAATTTATGCAAGTTTCGTGTGGTTAGGAACGTAGAGATGAATGATCGATTTATAACAATTTGTTAGCGCGTATCGGGATCATCCCCTCGCTCGGCCGCGCCAGTTTCACGAGCGGGGGAGAATTGAATCACGACTCTCGTGGCGCCCAGCGGTCGCAATCTCCAGCGAACGACCCCCGGCACGCAAAGCCGCTCTGAACGGCCGACCGAGGCTCGCTGTGCGGGCTCGCGGCGGCGATAACGGCGCGCAGTCGGCGCCTCCGCCGAGCGCCGCCCGATCGGCTCGGAGCCGGCTCCGCTAGCCGTGGCCGCCCCCCCCCCCCTCCCTCATCGAGATCGGTTAACGACCGAGCCCTCCCTTATCGGTTGGCGGCCGAAACCCCTTTCTCGCAACGCGCCGCCCACACCCATCGGTTAGAGGCATCTGGTGAGCAGCTGAACAAAACAGTATACGGACAGGCTGTGAGCAGACTGCGCTCGGTGGCCACGGCGGCACGGCAGCCACGCAGGCGGCATGCAGAGCCAGACGCGTGCACCGCACCCCCGGCGACACGCTGGCAGAGGCGCACAAACAGCGCCGGCCGCCAGAGCTCGGCTGCCCGACAAGGAGCATGGCAGAGCGGTGCCAAGTTCGAGGCTGAAACAGCCGCAAGCGGAGATGCAGGAGTTGAGACAGGGGCGCCGGAAAGAGTCGGCGTGTTCAGCAGACAAATGCGTGCATAGAAGGGGGTTCGGTTGGTGTGGTGGCTCGTGCGGGGTGGGGGTCGTCCGGCGCCTACCTGGGAGTCAATAGCGTGATGAGAGCCGTGGAAATAGGAACTGCAAATAATGCAGATAGGAAGTTAAGTTTCAACCTACATCGAGAGAAGTTGAGACGCAAGTGGCAACACCATTCAACGTAACAAAACATAAACATATGAACATAAACTGTGCGCTGGGAACACAGCCAACCTAATAACCGCTGAGAAACAAAATAACTGCAAGCTGGGTGAGTGAGATCTGGACAACTTCGGAAAAATGTGTGCAAGTTAACAGACGAGAGCGGGGTGTTTAGACCTGCGACTCTGGATGCCAATCACCGTAGGTGGGTAGGGCAGGGAGAGTCCGCATGGGTGCAAAGCCGTCACCACACGAGCACCAGCAGGCTTAGCCCTCTTCGAACAGCCACGGGCGCGGGCAGAACACGAGCGTCGTCCGCGGCGGCGGGCGGCGCAGCCAGCCACGAGAAAACCAAAGGAAACGCTGTCGCTGCTCACCAGACCGTGTGTATTAGTGCGGGGCGGCTGGAGGCACTTACTGGCACTGTTGCTGGCTGCGGTCCTGTTGTATGGACATTCACAACGCTCTTTGGTAGTGACGTTAGCGCTTACCAAACGCTAACAGCACTGGCATTAAAGCTCGGTCGGCGATAATGGCATCACTGGAGAGATTGATGAGTGTTTCAAGAACGTTGTCAACATCGACCGATCAGTCGTCGCCGCACGCAGGCGTTCACGCATGTAACTAGTCATCTCACCCGAGCTGCGATCCCTCCTTCGCTGACTGTTGCAGAAGAATATGCCAAGTAACCAGGTAACCAAGTAAATAACCAAAACCGAGACATCAGCCACTCACCGCATTTGTAACCACTACGCCGTCCGGTGAGTGGCGAATCATTTGATCACAGTGACTCGAACCGACGGATGGACCTTTCAGTTCTACCACTGATCTGAGCTTCTGATAGTCAAATATTCATACATCTACTTGGCAGATTGGGCAGGACTCGAAGGCGTACCGGTATTGCATGAAAACGGTCCGGCTCATCACTTACTGGGAGTAGAAATTGAATTAACCCGATAAGCTTAAGTCTTTGTCAGGACAGCTTCCAAATTTAAAGCGGTAGAAAGCGGCTTTATGCAACAACCATATCTTACTTCCTACATCAATAAATTAATTACATTACACATCAAAGTACTTATGTTCACGCTGGCTGTTCTGGCCACACTATTTTTTATTACGTCTGACCACGATTGGCCCCACCTTAAAATGAGTGCATTTTGCATGTAATACGATATATATCAAGTATTTGCAGCAAAACATTTCAGGTTGTGGCCTCACATAGATTCCAAATCGTCAATGTCAGAATTAGTTTCGTATTTTTTTCACCGCTGGCTCTTACTCTCTGACATATCCCGACTTGAAGGCATTGCGATGCTCAGTGGGTGACCGAAATGTTCATTCCTATTGACCTTAGTTTCTCCCATGCCTTGCACATTTGAAAAAATATCCTGAACACTCGCTTTAGGTTTGTATTAATATGTTGTTTTCAAGGTTCGTTTTGCCTGAAGACCAAAACATAAAAAAATGTTTGGCTAAAGGGAGTGTTTCTCATTTGTATGGGGTTTTGTAGTCTATAGCCATCGTGAATATCGTACGGTACGGTTCACAGTCCTGCCTTCCTTTAGACTAAAATCCCCTAGTTTCTTAACTACACGCCCGCTTAGCTAAGAAGATGTGCAAACTATTGCAGACTATTTCGTGGAGACCTTTTCATTTTCACCCAGGCATCCATGTCATTCATAACGTTATTCAAATCCTGCCATTCCATTAGCCGTGCGGCGAACAAGACCAAGAAAAATATAACTGTCTTATCGTTTATGTGTGGTGTGCGTGAACACGTTTTCAGATGTAACGATCGTCAATTGGCTCTCGATCAATGTTGTGCAAGGTGCGACGACGCAACCAAAAAAATGACGCATTGAGGAGCATATTCACTCAACAGGGAAACCGTGCTGTTTACAGCAGTCTTTCCCACTTACTCCACTCAATCACTCCACTTTTTCACAGCCTGCCAGTAGTTATAAGTGAGCTTATTTCATCGCATACAATGTTTCTATAGTGGTGCAGTGCTTGTGCAACGTAAGGCATGGCAAGTATTAAAAGGCAGTAAAGATGATCTTCTTTCAATGATTTATGTGATATCCGTTAAGCAAGTTGCATTCTTAATGAGTTTTTGGTCACGGATCTTGCTCACAGAATTGAAAAGCTCGACTTCTTGTTAAATCAAAGTTAAAGTGAATATGTATTTGAAGTTTTCGTTTCTGTGAGCAAGGTCCGTGATCGGAAATATGTCAAAACGCAGCTTACTTAATGAGTATCGCGTATATAATAATTTAGAGAAGCCATCTTCATTTACTTTCCATATCCGATGCTTGATTAGATATCTTCAAATGCGGAACGTTCCCTTTAAAAAAGAGATATAGCTTAACGCAATAATGAAAGCAAACGCTTATAGTAGATGCTGAAACTTGCTTAACTTCCAAATTCCCAAGTAGTGAGGACTTCTGGCGAAGCATGAGGTGTACATGGCGTTTCGAGTGCTGGCGCTTCTGTTAGAACGTGCAGCCTGCTTCAAACGGTTCGTCCGTCACCCAGAATTTCACCCAGTCACAAACTCACCGCAGAAGGGCTCCACACGTCCTCCATTGCTTCAGAACCATCACGCCGAACGACGTGCACCCGAACCCTGAAGCACGCGAACCAGCCTGACGGAGGACCTCCTGCAAGTGCCCCCATCCGCCCCGAAAAGTGCCATTTTACGGACCATTTAACTGCCTCAAGCCCGGCGCCACGTCCATGCGATACTGAGCATGCGCAGTAGCTGTTTCGCCCACGGCAGCGGCGCACCACACGACAGGCAGGCAGTCACCTACCAATGGACGCGTGTCGGCCGGTTTAACGCTTTACATGCCCACCTCCTCGGGCTCGCCCGGGGACGGCGAATAGATGCCGATGGTACTTTCGTCGAGGTCTATGGGGCGACTATAGTCGTACAGGGAGGGCGCCCGCAGGAAAATGAGCGCCGTGCCGGCGACGTTGGAAGTGAGGAAGAGGAGCAGGAAGAGGCGGTCGAGTACGAGCGCCGCGTACTTCCATTCCTCGCGAGCCTGAAATCACGCAGTCACCTTACGGTCCGTCCTGCAGCGGCAGACACAGAGACAGCGCACGGAGCGGGCTGGGGCGGCTGGAGAAGTCACACAACGGTCCGGGGCTGGGGCAGTTGGATGGCCCAAACAGCAGGCCGGGGCTGGTGCACCTCGAGGAGTCACACAGCGGGCTGGGGCTGGGCAGCTGGAGCCACACAGCGGCCTGGGTTGGAGCAGCTCGAGGAGCCACACACAACAGCGGATCTGGGCGGTACCGGCGGCACCAGCTGACGTGTGTTTACGTTTATCATGCAGACCGAAAATCTGATTAGAGCAAAGCAGGATGGGGATCTGCCGCTGGGTAATCAAACATGTTTGAGAGGGCCGTGACAAAAAAGGTCAGCCAGTAACAAGGTCACCGAGTAAGAGACCTCGTGATCATTCGCTACTTACCGCGCTATTTTTAACATCTAACTAGATGTTTAAGACTGCTCAAAGTTCAGAGAATGCACATGTGCTAAGAGCTGCTTCAAAAAGTGCCGATGAAAATAATAAAACGTGACGTCATTGCATGGATGGAAAGATAGGTATGCTTGGCAATGCCCTCATTGAGGTAATCTAGATGTAGAAGCAGTTTAATGTGGTACCTTGTTTATTTGTCTGTTTGAAAGAGGATAGGGAACCAGACCACACTTAAAACATTCCTTCATGACTTATCTCTCCACCCATTGCAATGTGATGGAATTAATTCAATAAACCAGAGGGAAAAGTGAAATGTGCATTAACTTGTGACTTTTTCCTGCTTTGCAACAGGTGCAACTGACTACGAAACATCCAGAAAACACACACTGAATGGCGAAGGCTGTGTTCGGTACTGAGCTACCTCGTTGGTTTTGTCTTCCTCCTTAATGTGCCGGGCTATGAACTGTACACCCTCCAGCGCGCGCTGTACCTCCGGAGAGTACTGTGGTTCCTCGCTGCTGCAGCCGAATATATCTGCCAAGCACACAGCCCCCCGTGACGGCTGCATCACCCCCCTGACACGCCCACATCCCCCTGGCACGTCCCGAGAACGGCTCAGTTATTCATGCCTGACACAGAACCTACAGTTATGCAGCAGCGTCACTGAAGTGTGAAGCTGACACGTCGCACACGTCAGGACTTCTGTCCGTAAATAAATACTGAGAGCTGAAAGAACAGCGAGCAAGGTCATCTGCAAGGCTGAAGCGCATAAATAACTCAGCATGACATGTGCTTCAGCATTATATGCGCATCATATCATGTGCTTCTGCACGTGACGCCACACGGCGCTTGACCATTTGATGTGGCCGTCGCCTACCGAGGAGGCTGTTATTAAGATCACTATCTTGGAGTTTCCGATTCCGTCTCAGGGTGGCCACCACCGCGGCACACGGACCGGCGGGCCGACCCACGCTGGCCCGCGACACCGCGGGATTACGACACGCTGGCTAACGACATCACACGACACGCTGGGTAACGACACCACGGGCCGGCCCAGGTCGGCCGGTGCGGGGCGGCGGCGACATGCCGTACCGCGTGCTCGCCAACAGCCGAGCTATGCCTGGCGTCAGACCTGAGCTTTGGGCACCGCAGCCGCCGTTGATCTTGAAGGCCGATGGCGTGGAGTCGTCGGCGTACGGGTCCCGGAACGTGTCGCTGCAACAGACGGACGCCCGGTGGATGTGAGGAAGCAGTGGGCGTCGACCTCTCGCGGCACCGCCCTGGGCGCACGCTCGAACAGCGAGGCGCCCGCTGGGGGTGCGGAAGCCGCGGGCGTCGACCTTTCGTGGCCTCGCCCAGAAAGCACATCTGAAGAGCGAGGGGCGGTGACGGGTCGTCCGCGGCTCTCTCGGATCGGCGCGACGCTGCGATGTACTGCTCTCGGGGAGGGATGCATTCTCCATTTTAGACGGCCCCTATCATCCTGTCGCTTTCCTTAAGTCTTTTCTCTTTTTCCCAGCGTCCAGCACTTCCACGGCAGTCCATAGTCCGTTTATTTCTTTCATAAAAGGCGCCACCACCCCTTAAGCACCCGGCTCCCTTCGCCGTGCATCTATGCGCCTCCTCGGCAGTCACTGCTCTCCCCCTTCATTACAACAGCAGAACCGTCTGACCCATTGCAACATCCACAATGCGCCCCTAGTCAGCTACCTTTCCCGTCGTCCCCCCCCCCCCTCCCCCGCCTCTCCGCCTGTCCGTCCCGGCGCCGCCGCCCACCCTCGCTCCCATCCGCGCCGACTGGTGCGCGGAGCGGATCCATCAGAGCGCCGGGGGCGGTGTCGACGCCGACGGCTCGTCGTCAGGTCGCACCTGCTTCCAGTCCGCACGGCGGCGGCACGTGGCCGGGCACGGGACCACCGCCCGGTCTATACCGGCCGTGGTGAGGGTGTCAGTGAGAAATGAGAGTAGAGAGAGAGAGAGAGAGAGAGAGAGAGAGAGAGAGAGGAGAGAGAGAGAGATACCGCGCGAACACGGGTGTGTTACATGCGGTGATAATGCTGATGGATGTCAGTATGTGAATTAGTTGACCGACGTCGAATGCAGACCAAATTATCGACGCCTTGAGAACACTCGGTAAACACCGATGTGAAACGACACAGTGTACGTATACAGGCTGCATTCAGCTGCGTCCCGTCGGGAGCGGATAATGGTCTAAGCGGCTTACGAAACGGCTCCCAAACCAGAAATTACTTGAGCTGGCCGTCGGTCATAGGCCCAGCAGCGGAGGTAAGCGCCATTATATCGCGCTACTGCGTGACCATACGTACTCCCACTACCCAACCCATATAGCCCGGCACAATGACGACCCTAATGGGCCGCCCTGACGGGGAGTAGTCATGAAAACAGTCTGATGAGGCAACAGCCCTCCGGTCCGCATCAGGTACAGGTACGCGATTATCTTCCAACGGACGACACCCGACGCGCCGCCGGCACATCTGGGGTGAAGGAAGCGCAGTCCCGACGGCGCTCCGCACTGCGACGTGCCTTCCCGGAGGCGGCAGAATGCGCGCCACTGCGCGGTGTGCACGCCGTGCGCGTGCAGTGACGGCCTCACCCGGACATGTACTCGGCGCCGGCCGTGCACACGTGGTCGTGCAGGTGCGTCTTGGGGTCGAAGCTCTGGCGGCGCGGGCCGTACAGCGGCCGCCGCATCAGCAGAAGCCGCGGCATCAGGTACAGGAAGATGCGCCGCACCCACGGCGCCATCTTGTGCGTGGCTGGCGACCTGGCCATTGGATGACACGGAAGTTTACATGCACGTCAGCATGAAAAGGTTCTTTGCAGCAACAGCATCATGGTCTTGTCCGAGTTATGTCCACGCAAAACACTTGGGCCGGACATTTTTTCATTGCCTGTGTTTTGACGTAGTTTGAGATACATGCTTTACCGGCACCCGCATCGTTCACATATGGGTACAAAGAGGTAATATTAAAACCTGTCTTGGAAGAAGATGTTCCAGTTCTTAGTAAATCAGCCTCACCAAGCATAGTGAGGGTTCAGGTCAGGAAGTACGACACTTATATGGAAACAAAGCATCAGCCTGAAACAACCGCGGAGCGGCCTGTGCACGGAAGTTCGGTGATGTCGGGTAGCAGGCAATACCAAACATCCCAGTTTTTTGGTAGCCAGTTGACTCTGGGTTCTGGGTTTGTGACTATAAATTTCGTGTCACAAATATTTTCATTCCCTCCTCTTCTACCTTAATACTGAGCGTCCAAACTTTGCTGCAGTGCAGCTTTTTCACCACTCTGGTACCTGTTTGTCGCGCTGGTGATGATCTGCTGTCATGCTCATGATCTTTCATAGTATTTGGACGTAATTGTTTCCGTATTGCTTTTTCAATCAGTTTGACTATGTCATGCTTACTTTTGTCTTTTTAACAATCTTCGGCTCACTGCTTTGGTTACTCCAGCTGACTATCGAATCGGATGCAGCTATTCTAAGTGTCAAACCCTTATCTCGCTGTGCGCCACCTGTCAGGTGGCGCACCGTGTGGAGTGCATGACACTATCCTTCTGGATACCCCGTAGCCCAGTCATTCTAAGTGTCAAACCATTACATCGCTGCACGCTGATAGTCAGGTACAAGCGAAGCGTGCATGACACTATCCCTCTGGACACGCTCTAGCCTAGTCATCCAGTGCCAGCAAAGTTCATGGAGATGGTCATAATAAAGCCTCACATCAATGAAGTAAAACAGCGCACTAAATCCGAGCCCACATTACGCTGTCAGCGTGTCGTCACAGTTCTTCACTTCTTTCCCTCTTTGTAGCTGCAGAGTACAGCCCTTAGCCGCGACAACTGACGACGACAGAATCTGCTGAGGACCGTAATCAGCTTTTACTGACTAGAGATACAATCTGGAGTTGTTTTACTTCCACATCGCTGACCTGCGGGCTTAGAACTGTCACCTCCACTGATATGCCTGACGTCAGTGCAAATGAATGCTCGTGATTGCCACAGCGGGTGCTGAAGGCCATTTACCGAGAGGCGCGTTGGTTTAAGTTGGGACCTGCGCGTATGTGTGTGCGTGCACTGTACGCGTGTGATATGTCTGTTTTCCACAGCCAAACTTCCCATTGTAAAGACTTACTGCGCTTAACGCCGCTGTGCTACGGGAGAAATCAGCCATTGGTAGCCGTGGTATATAACGTTTCATCATGTTTGCGTGATAATTACTTCATATGTTTGAATCTTTGTGTTATATAAAGATTGTTCCAAGCTTTCGTAGCACTTAATGCACAGGCATTTTTACGACGATTATGCCGCAAACATTGAATATCGTAGACGTTGTTAACGCATAACAAATCAAAATCATTACTTTCAGAGTAATGTGCAGAGCCTTCTGCAGGGACGTCCACTTCAAACTTAAATGCCGAGTTATTCAGAGGAATTTATTGAAAGCTGCTATTACCGGCCGAATTGGAAGTGCCTGATCTAAGTGAAGAGTGCAACACAGGTGGCACACTCCCTTCAACGTGTCCGATGTTGCCCAGTGTTCTCCACTTTCCTGTCCAGTATAGTATTGGTCAAGTCGAGTTCCGCCACCATAGTTCCGTATTCCGGGCAGCGTGCCGAGTTTTAGACTCGCACTAACAGCCGGAACGGAAGAGAGGGAGGAGTCGGTGATGGCTGTAGAAAATAAACTGACTCTTCATCAAGTGTAAAACACGACGTATGCATTTAAATGACATCTTACTTCGATGTCCGTTACGCATCGCTTTGGTGTGAACCGCCCAATACCCTCTCGTATAAAAACGTAGACACGTTACGCCACTTTTGGCCTGGCTTTGCCAGACCGACGCCTCTCAGAAGACGAAGTCGAAGTCTCCTAGCTATTCAGAAGTTCAAAATTATTTCTCCAAACCCACGGAGAACAGCTGTTGTGCCTCTGTAAACAACAGCGTGGCTGTTTGCTGGGCAGGTTTCGAGCTTATGCCACATACGTCTCCTTATCCTGTTTCGCACCAACTAGAAAAGTGCACGGGCGTATCTCGATGTAAGGCACCGCAAGGGTCTGTTTTTGACGCTGCCAGTGGCTGTTTTTATGGTTTAAGAGGCGTGGGCAACCGTTGATGTAAGTGGCAATAATAATGACGGAAAGGGGAGAATAAATGTCACCGATTTGAGACGAATCGCTCCATAGGCTATCCACACGCCACTTTAGTTGTCAGCTGCGTCGCTTAAATGAAGCGCCACAATGGCAACGCATCGTGACTGGTCATTCAAGCTAAACTGAATTATTGCTCCAGCAGCGGAAGTTTGCTCTGTCATAAAATACGTCGATATGTAACTGAAGAAATATTCATATGGTCTTTTATTTTGCATACTGGCCGGAGGGTAACGCAGACGTGCTACAAGCAAGAACCTTTATCACATTTCAGACACACAAAACGGAACCATTGAACGATGTGTTCTCTCCAATTACCAGTCAACGCGTGCGACTCAGAACATGACAACAGCTTTAGCAGAGCTGCTCGATGGTCTCTTGTATGTCTGAAAAGCGCAGTGTGACCTATTTCATCGATGGCACCATCTTAACAGTCTCATGGGGGGTTGCCGGGCTAAATATTCAATGTCAAAAGGTGGAATGAAAAAAAAATTGAAAGGCGATGATGAAAAGCAAAATGTTGACGTAAAAACATCAAGGTGAATGCATGTTAAATGGAAATCGACATTCTGGAGAAATTTTGACTGGGAAAATATTGATTGGACTTTGCATCAATATAGAACATGATCAAATCATCAAATACTGCTCGGCTAAATATCGACGAGTACAGATATAGGACGGACAAACGAATGGCAAAATCCGTATGAGATATATAGCATCTTCAAATATACATATATATATATATATATATATATATATATATATATATATATATATATATATATACATATATACACATGTGTGTGTGTGTGTGTGTGTGTGTGTGTGTGTGTGTGTGTGTGTGTGTGTGTGTGTGTGTGTGTGTGTGTGTGTGTGTGTGTGTGTGTGTGTGTGTGTGTGTGTGTGTGTGTGTGTGTGTGTGTGTGTGTGTGTGTGTGTGTGTGTGTGTGTGTGTGTGTGTGTGTGTGTGTGTGTGTTTAGAAAGGTTCGACAAGGACAAACATCGAGGAGGAAGTGACTGTTAACTATAAGACCAACAATAAGAGGACGAAAAGCAAGCAACGATTTAATAAATGGTTGAAATGACCAACGTTAAGGTTTGCACACATTGCTATTGCAACTCATTGCTTAATAAATATTCCAAAATGTATCACAGATGTGAGGTTGTCAGTTTAACCCGCACTCGGCCGCGAGGGGGGAAGTTGACTTTCCCCACGGTTTTCGAGCACAGCTCAAAACAAACGCTCGCAACAACACCAAATTTGCAGCTTTTTCAGTTCATTTGATATATTTTGTGCGATGAGAAGTTTCGATTTACTATAGTCGGTAAGCTAAGTCAGATCAAAGAGGTTGACCTCCCAAAATTTTGACCGCGCATAACCTGTTGTGGGCCATTTGCCTTTCTATGGTTTGGCCCAAACTTGCTACATGTAGTGATAGATGAGCGTAACGCCTACAGTTTGTTTGTTTCAGATTTTTGTCTAAACCGGCGAGGTCAGTGACCTGGGTTTAGGCCAACTTTGGCTATATTACATAAATAATGCAAATTTGTACTTATTTTTGTTTGATTTTGATGTTTTTATGTAAGGAAGATAGCACTAACTCACGTGCACAAACATTGTATGTATGCATAACCATTATATGACCACAGAGGGCATGAGCTCCGCCCAGGCTATGACCTATTTCTATGCGTGCTTTCTACAAAGCACATGCTGAGCTCAAAATAGGCGGTGTGGTTAGGCCATTTTGGGCCAAGAATTCCAATATTCAACTGAAAGCATGTTGTGGTATCATTATAATGCATACTGAGGTCGCAGTAGGCTCTGTTTCCAGTAAAGGAGAGGAGAGGAAGTCAACTTCCCCCGGCAGCGCGCGGTTGTCCCAGAACTGCGGCCTGGCGCAGATGAACTTGGTTGTGCAGTGTTAAGTTAGTTTGGGCTAGGACACAAATATATTATATTATATTTGTGAAGCTACGCACGGTGAAGTCATGGGCGGTCCTGACGCTGAATAGGAGGAGCACGGTTCCAGAAACTGTGTAAACGAGAGAAAAAATATAAATGTCCAAAGAAAGACAAGGTCTTGCTTTTCAATGTCTTGGAAGACATAGCTCCGTGGCATCCTGAATCTATGAGCAGGCTAGGATGAGGTGCCGTTAGCGAACTTGAATCTGTAACCGATATGTTATAGCGAGCTTGATTTGAATTCTACGTTTCGATATTTTACGTCAGTTGTCAAGCGCTTTTGCGAGGAATATTATGCATATAAATAAGGAAGTACTGCTAGCTTTATTCATCGTAGAAAAGCCAGGAGAAAATGAAGATAGATGGTATTTCGACTACGTGCCTTTATGGCTTGCCTTTATGTCATGCCTACACGTCTTGTTTTAATATTTTGACGCTCCATTTAACGCTCCATTGGTAGGTAATGTTTCGCTTCACCATTGCTAATCCCCGCGGGTTCATCAACTGCGAGTATCATCAACGTAAATATATCCTTTCCAGGAATGATTCCATCAATATTTTACCATCCGACATGTATTTCTCACCAATTCTGACCTTTGTCACGCTTTGTTTTATCAGTGCTTTCCTATTCAATCGTTTCTCATTTACGTAT